TGTAAGGCAATATTTCATTATTTGACAAACGCCAATTGTAATATAATATTTACAAGTATAAGTGCATTGTATGTATTTAATGGCTGTAGCTGGATCGAGTTTGCGTACAAGTTTATGATAGACACTTATCTTTGGAAATACTAAGAATCCTCAATGTCAAATTATATTGCCTTTCAAATGGCGAAAAACGTTAAAATGATATATTTCATTTTGAGTACTGAAGCTTTTCCAGTTTGATATTGCAAGGTTCTTGTCATTGGCGAGTAATGTATTAGGGCTGTGTATAAAAATATAGGCTGTTCAAAACTACAAGAGTCGTTAAAATCAGTAAGTATGCAAAAATACAATAATTTATTCCATGGAATAAGGTAATTGCTACATAGCTTGAGTCTTGAGACGTTCTGGAATCATACTGAATCTCCGTAAATATGACACTGAAAATTTTCTGCACCGTCAATTTCTCTTCTGTTAAAGCCTAAATGCGCTCCTTGGCTATGTATCTGAACAGTAAAGTCGGTGTACCTTTCATGTAAAAGATTGAGAAAAAGTTATGCTCGCACCTATTCAGTATAGTTGGTTTTACGCACGCTTCCCACAAATTAGCTTATATTTACAACATCCGGAAGTGACGTAATTGTTATTAGTGACGTCATCAGGGATCAAACTGTATAACAAAAACTTAGAATACGTAGGTATGCGTTATACTCTCATCAGACATATCAAATGTTAAATAACAAGTGATAAAACAGCGCTTCTCCATGCCCATCATTTTTCAGACAATCCGAAAATCACTATAGAAAATAATACACGGTTCTTGTATCTAATATGACACAAAACGGAAAAAAATATGCTTTGTAAGTAAAATTGCGCTTGTTTGCATCTAAATAACCCATTTCTGATCATCTTTTGAAAAAAAATTGTCCGGTAAGGAACAGATTTCCTAACCAAAAAACGCGCCCACGAACCTAATTTTTAGGAATAATTATTCGACGAAAATGACAGGAATATATATAGTTCAAAGTTTGTTTATGCATTCTTGAAGTGCTTGAGAATCAAATTTATACAACTAAATGGCATTTTTCATACAAGTATTATAATTCGTTAACTGCAAGTCTTGCTACTTACAATATATGCCAGTACGTTTGTCTGTTTTAACTATATATTACAGCTTCCTTCTGACAGTGCAGTTTCAAGGTGCATCTAAAACTTGCTGAATACAAAGCTTGACAGAAAACTATACATGATTTAAGGCAGGAACTAAACATCTGAATTATATATTAAGTTACAGGGCTTTGCTATAATTGTTAAGTTGATATGTTATACTTTCCGATCGAGTGACGTAATTGTAACATAATATTCAAAGCTCGAAACACGGTCTACACTTTTTTTTGCAGTGATTTTAGAAGTATATAAGCGCGCAATCGATTAAAAATATAGATTAAAAGGCTTGTCCAATTACGTTTTGCACCAGTATGCAGCAAAACATATAAAATCAGCTATGCCTTAAAAATCGCCACGGTCTACAAACAAAAATCGTATTTTCATGAATACTAATGAGCTATGATCTATTATATTCAAAGAGCTACTTTTAATATGTAGACCGTGGTAACTTTTTATTTCTCTACTGTGTATATTACGAAAACATTTTAAAAACAAGTATAATATGTATAGGTAGTTCCCTAAGAAGAAATCGTTACATTTCAATGCAGCAATTGTGTATAATTCAAGTCCGAAGTTACTGTAGACCGTGCTGGCGTGCTAGTCGGCGCACAGTATTGAAAAGTGTAAGGCAATATTTCATTATTTGACAAACGCCAATTGTAATATAATATTTACAAGTATAAGTGCATTGTATGTATTTAATGGCTGTAGCTGGATCGAGTTCGCGTACAAGTTTATGATAGACACTTATGTTTGGAAATACTAAGAATCCTCAATGTCAAATTATATTGCCTTTCAAATGGCGAAAAAGGTTAACATGATATATTTCATTTTGAGTACTGAAGCTTTTCCAGTCTGATATTGCAAGGTTCTTGTCATTGGCGAGTAATATATTGGGGCTGTGTATAAAAATATAGGCTGTTCAAAACTACAAGCGTCGTTAAAATCAGTAAATATGCAAAAATACAATAATTTATTCCATGGAATAAGGTAATTGCTACATAGCTTGAGTCTTGAGACGTTCTGGAATCATACTGAATCTCCGTAAATATGACACTGAAAATTTTCTGCACCGTCAATTTCTCTCCTGTTAAAGCCTAAATGCGCTCCTTGGCTATGTATCTGAACAGTAAAGTCGGTGTACCTTTCATGTATAAGATTGAGAAAAAGTTATGTTCGCACCTATTCAGTATAGTTGGTTTTACGCACGCTTCGCACAAATTAGCTAGCTTATATTTACAACATCCGGAAGTCACGTATTGCTAATAGTGACGTCATCAGCGATCAAACTGTATAACAAAAACTTAGAATACATAGGTATGCGTTATAGTCTCATCAGACATATCAAATGTTAAATAACAAGTGATAAAACAGCGCTTCTCCATGCCCATCATTTTTCAGACAATCCTGGACAAAACGTTGTGGACAACCCACAGAATTTGGCCTCGAATGGTGTTTTTCTAAATAATTATCCCCCCGCTCCCCCAAGCCAATGTTGAATGGGATTTTTCATCAAATACGAAGTGTGGTTAAGTTGGATATGCAACATTGAAGAGGGGGAGTGGGGGATGTGCAAGTAAATTCAAGTTTTAGGTGTTTGTTATGATTTTTGCAAACGTGGATTAAGTGTCCACATGAGTTTTGGCCCGGATTGTAGTTTAATTAATTCATTGGTGTAAAATCTTGTCTTTGTTTAAAGGACATTGGCAACCAAAATTTTTATTGCTTATATCTATTAGGTATGCTTACGGAATACTTAATTTTATATTTTGGCCGGTTTGTCGCATTTAGTTGTTGAGAAAATGTAATAAAAAGTTCAACAGTAGTCCGCCATTTTGAAAATAAACACTTGTGCCACAGCATACATTATCTGACGTCATTAGATGGGTAAACACAATTTCATGACTATAAAAGAATACCGAATATTACCACGCGTAGTGCACTTTGAGCCTAAACGAAGGGCAGAAACGTTTTACCAAGTATGTTCCTTATTTGTAACACTATTTCTGATAGTATATCAGTCCTAGTCCGTGTTAAATAAACGCAGTAATTCGAGTGTAAACAAGGCAAACACTAATGCAATATTTTATGATCAATTACCTGTATTGTAAATTGCGCCATTCCTTGCTTTCCCAGACGCTCGATATGTTTTTATCTGATAGTGTAGGCTTCTCTTGTTTGATTGCGAAAAGTATTGGCCAGTATAACGCTCAAAACGACATATTTTTGGCTAACACGACACGCACGCAATAGAATTCTCACTTGTAGTTTTGGTGCTACCCATCTAATGACGTCACAAAATTCGTTGACCTTCGAAGGTCATTTTTTCCAAGATGGCGGCGACACACAAAGTTTGCATGCATTTTACTCCTAGAGTAAAATGTTCGAGAAGGAAATGATAATATTTTCATAGTTAGGTTGTCAAGTAGGATTGAAATAGCCAATAAAAATTTTCGTTGCCAATGTCCTTTAAGTAATAAAGTTGATTTGTTGCAAAGTTCGGTGTCTTTTAATTATTTGTTGTTCACATGCATGCACCGGCCCGGGACAACTTTATGAATTATGTCCCTGGGCAAGCAATTCTCATGCATGTTATTTTGCTTGTAAATACGTTGCATGCCTTAATCTCATGCATTAATGGAACAATTGCTCTTTAGACCGGCCAAGAATTAAGAGTAGACACAGACACTATCAGACAGCTTTTTGTGTGGGAGAAAGGCTTATGGGGATGAAGTACTCCGGTTAAGTGCTATATTAAGTATATTTAACCAATAGGCTATTTGTGGCCTTATATTTCATCCTGCACGGTATATATTAGGCCCGCTCTAAAAACCATAGAAGTAAGGTCCCTAAAGTGCTCTGGGGGAAAGGGTCCCCAGAGCACATGCCAGACCCCCTCTGACCCTATTAACCTAAACCAAGGAGTAAGGGACAGTTCCTATAATCCGACTGATTATATTTACTATTGAATGAGTCTATGGGCATGAAGGTGACCTTTGGGAGTACTTCAACACCACAAATACAATAAAGTGTATCTGACACTTGAGTGTATTCCCCACTGACGAGAAACAATTACAAAAATTACAGCTTTCTAAACGTTTCGTTTGGCTGTTTTGTTTTTTTGTTTCTTTTTGGTTTTTGTTTGTTTGTTCAGTTTTTTGAGATGAAGTTACTTGGCACGGTATTAAAATTTGGATGTGTTGGCCAGTAAATACTGATATCAGTCCTGATAAGGTAGATACAGGTGTTCAAATGTAACGTTTGTAACGACCATCTTCCCAATGTTTTAATAAGCAACGAAGGTAAGGTTGCTTCAGTTGTTGTACCCCTTTTCTATAGCAATGACCAGCATAATTTGAAGCATTGAAACCAGATAAGGCTAGAAGCTTACGAGTTTCGGTGGTTAAAACTTGCTTTCTTAGAGGTTTTCCTGAGGCATGGATAAACAGAAGACGAATTGTAGAGGGACCGACAGAGATGTACTTTTCTGAGGCCTGCATGTACAGAGCAAATTTCAGAAGAAACATTCCTTTAAGACTTTGAAACAAGAGACCTCTTTCAAGTTTGTTTTGTCTATTTTACTGCTTTAACCGAATCATGATGATTGGTTAAATTTATTGATGCCATGAAAGATACAATACAATTGGCTGAAAGATAATTGGTTATGAGATGTGCACGTGTTCGCATTGGCAATACGTGGGTCTTTGACCTTTGGGTCAGTGACTTTTGTACCGTGATGCAAACTATTCAAGTCGATTGTAATATATATTAGCTAAAATTTGTCATATAATGAAGAAAGCATAGCCCATCAACTTAAATTTATTATATATACAAATTGGCTAAAATTGGTTTACAAGAATTAGGTATAATTACAAAATGGAAAAATTATATACAACATATTTGATTCCGTTCGCGATTTCTCACAAGCAATGTCGATTTAGGCTAAATATAGCAACCGATAGAAAGTTCGACTTATTTGTGATCGTATTCTACGTACACGCAGTGTATGCATAGCTATTACACTATTATATACCAGCTGTCTTATTTGGGACGTGCACAACTAACACGACCTGTTGAAAAGTTTCGCGCTAGCTACAGTAGACTACATGTATCCAGGGATGCCGGAACGATCATAAGGCAAAGGGGGGCGGACCCACAGCAAGGGCACTTCTCTAAAGCAAAACTTCAAAATCTTCCGAAATTTATTTTTTTTATCAAAAAATATCAAAACATTTCGGTCAGTGTAACATTTTAGGGGTCAAAAATTTTTTCCGGACATACCATAAGTGAAATATAAACTGTAAATGTCTGAATCTCATAATTTTCGTACAAAAACCATCATTCTAAATGTGATTTATCACGTAATTTTTAAAAACTAAAAGGGCACTTCTGCCCCCCCTGCCCCCCCTAGCAAAAGGCAGGGGGGGGCAGCCGCCCCCCTGCCCCCCCAGTTCCGGCGTCCCTGGTTACGACTGAAGACTTTCAACATATCAAGAACGCATTACATGCAAAATAGCACCGAACATAGCGCTGTTGTTGATCAAAGCCACATTTTTCACATTCCAACCACGCAATGAAACATGCTTAAGCTTGCTCTAGTCTCGATTCAGTGCAAACAAACTAACACGCAATATAGTTTAACGTGGAAAATTCGATGGTAGTAATATAGTCTTAAATCCTTTATAATCTCAAAGTAACTATATGGCAATTTAAGAGTCAGAAATGTGATAAATGTAGAAATGAACATAGGATTATTGATAAATTATTAGGCCATGAGATTATTTAAGTGTTGGCTCACGAAATTTGAAATGACTCTCTTCATGTCAGCACGACGGCATACATAATCAATGCGCTTTGCTGGCAACATGATGTTCGTTTATACGTGTACAATTTACTAACCATGCAGAGGAACTCGAAGTCACGCAAGAATTATACGACCTTGTAATGCACATATACTGTATATATTGTACATATATTAATGTACATCTAGATTCAGATTCCGCGACAACGAAACCTTGTGTAAATATTAGTATATATCAAACAAAATAAGTAGCGCTTACCTGGGAAATAGGTTAATAATGATACAAATTCAACACTGCTTTTGACCCAAACGGAGCGCGAAAATGACAAGCCTGATTGCCGTCGTTCTTTTATTCGTTGTAACCACAGTGTTCTAACTCGGCGCCAAAAATGCGCATTCGCTGATTGGTGCACATACAACACGTGAACACAGATAAGTTAAGTCAGCTGTGTTCAAAATTATTTGCGCCCCGCCGCGAGAAATGTTGATAAAATCATGCACGCAACCTCGCACTTAGGCTCAGATTCCAGCCGTTGTGTTCTCGCCACTCGCCCACTAAAGCCTACTGTACCTCGCACTCTCCTCAAGAGGATCTTGGGCAATTAGTCTAGGTTTTTTTTACGTAATCATCAATGTTGCCCGAGTGCTCACAAAAGAAACAACTGCCTACATTTTTAATTGTATATGATACGACCAGTAGACGGAAATAAGCCCTTAGGTGTTCGTTTCTAAGGTTTATTGTGCCAAGTTCAAACTGTGGTTCATAATAACAAGGTCGCGCCGGATTATTAGCGTATCACGATCACAAATTTGGTGGTTTCACTGACTCTTTTTGGCCATGAATAGGCAATGATAGCACAAAAATACAAAATAAAACGAAATAGGAGACCTTTTAACCAATCTGCATGAGCTTTACTATCTCCGCGGCATCATATAAACTGACAGATACCGGCAACACGCAACATTGATTAAAGAATTGGAAGCAGCCAAATTTTGCATGTCCAATGGCAATTTATACCTTATACGTTAATTTGGGAATGCAACTTAGTGTTCTATGTTTTCGAACCGGAGTCGCTTATAAGTGAGTGGTTTGAAATCTATAACACAAAGCCACAAGCCATAAATGCCTTATAATTGTAGCATCTGTGGATCATTTTTTCGGCGAAAGCACATCAAACGTATTCAGACGAATGTCGAAAACATTGATGAGGCTAACACTGAGGAAGCTGCATGGCGACGCCAACACATTTAATAACAATGATTTGCCCCATGAAGACGCCAGTCATCAATTCATTCGATGGCCACAAATTTATGTGCTTGATGTATGAAATTAATCGGTTAAATTTCAATCGTATACTCGCGAAGAGACTCTGCGGGTCTCTGTCACTCCATGCGTCGCCGCCATCTTGAAAAATTGAAGGGTAACTAAGGGGTAAGTTTTACCCCGTAAAAATTTACCCCCAAATATACACCGCGTAACATTACCCGCAAAACCAGTGTAATTTTTACCCCTCTTTCAATTACCCCTCAATTACCCCTCCGTATTCAACGATTTGGCTACTAACTACCCTGCATTATGGAGTAATTTCTACCCTAAAATCAGTTACTCCTTTCAAGAGAGTAATTTTTGACCTTCAAAGGGGTAATTTTTACTCCCTGAAATTTACAGTGTGGGTGAATAATTACGTATGCACATACGATTTTGGTTTCTGATTTATAGGCCTATATCAGTTATCTTGTATTTGCGAAATTTACTTCTCGATCTACAAACGTTGTGTACGCTGTATTGACGCTGTATTTAGAGTTGTATCTATTGACGCTGTATCTACAGCTACTACAAATTACAGTCCAATTTAGCTTATATTGTGATAATATATTTTTGGAGTTTGTTAGTCTAAAACTTATGGCCGTTGCAGTTTAGCAGTTGACATTTCATAACAGGTCATATTTCGTTTGAGGTTTATTGACATAAATTTGGCATTGTCTTCCTATTTATATATAAATCTTTTTGTGTCGACGTTCATTATTAATACGTAAATTATTGCTCGAATTATTGTTTTTTTCAGACGTTACTATTTAGACTATTTTAATAGACAGTGTTGAGTAGCGGCATTTAACAGTTATGAGGTCAAATTTTTTGGTTTATAGTGCATTGTATCACATACTACTCTATCAGAGCGATGTTGCCGATGTAATGGAAAAGTAATTTAAACTGCCAAATTTTGAAAATTCTCAATTCTCGAACTGCTCCTGCCACAGTAATTTAGCACATTATTCGGTTATTGTTGTAGTCATAACTCACAGTAGATCGCACGCAAATGAATTTCAGAGGTATTAATATTTATAGTGGACGGTGATAGAGTTTCTTTGATATTGTTGCTAGTCTGCGTTGCAAGCTAACGAATTATTCAGCGATTATCGCTTTATAGTATTTATAGGTGGGTTGCAATTGTAAGCATTGAACACGGCGCCGCTGATGAATATATGCGTGCGGGCAGTCCATTGTCGTTTATAGTCATTATTGGAAATAGAAAAAGTAATGCTATATTTTTCTATCGTCAGTATGAATAAAACTTGTCATATCAAAACTGTTTATGGAACACTTACTTGCAGGGGCGTAGCGTGGGGGGGGGGGGGGGGGTAACATCTAAACGTTTTACCGACGAACTCGTGGCACTTGAAGCGAAAGAAAATAGCCAGATGGTACAAGGTTTAGGTTGCATGTATAATAAATTGGTATCATTGTATGAACTATTTGAAACATGAGCAGCAGTGTTTTATCGGATATAAAGATACGAGGCGAAGCCGAGTATCTATAGGTCTGATAAAACAGGCATGCACTGAGAATGTTTATATGTGAACCAGGCTTTAAATTGCTTCAAAAACGATCGATCTATTAAGTTCATTGGCGAAGTAATTTTAAACTGAAAATACGTTGTGTAATCCGAGAAAATCAAAGTTAAAGTATATAAATCATGGAAGGGAAATCTCTATCACATGCATATAAAGATACGACACGCTTTAATTTAAATATGATTTTTCTTTGTGTTTTCCTCATGAATTTCCTTTCCTCTATTAAAAATAAAAAGAATAAATGCGAGCATTGTCGTGGATCAGTACATGCTGCATGCATTATCCTCTTAAATTTTAGTTTGCCTCGATTAAATTTATTACTTCCGTCTTCCGCACACAATTAAGCCTAATATACGCACACTACTGACGCTAAAGTAAAGTGAGAATGTGAGATAATTTGGTAATTATAGTAATATAGGTATACACCGTCCCTTATACGCTACATATAACATATAACATATACCATAACAGCTATACAGCAATTGACAAATAAATATTGCGGCGCGCTTTCAATGACACTTAGCGTAGCTTTAGTCTCTTCCGGCCAGAAACTCAGCAAACGCTTTATTAATTGGAATGATTGTTGTCTTTGTTACTTCGCGATAAGTCAGTTTACTCATTTATCTTGTTGTTTACTGTAATAAACAGACTTGAAAAATTGGTGAAACATTTTATATTAAATTAAGCACCGCGTGTCGATAATAAATATAATCTTTATTTGGTGCATCATTGTATCAAGGTCAAAAGTTCGCGCACGTACAGTTGAACATGACTCAACATGTCCATTCAGAACCGACTGTTTTCGCAGCTCTTGCAATATGTAATTCGATAGGGAATAGACCAATTGCGAAACTTAGTGACCGCGCCTTAAACTACACGAAAACGAGTCTTATCATGCAAAAACAAATCATTCTGCTATATTTTTATATGGCGAAAGATGAATTTCAGTGTTTGAGACGCGTTTTTATGGTAATCTCTTCATTTTTTTTCATTATTTCTGTTTTGACAATGTAAATCTTTATTAAACTTGTTCATAGTTTTAAGTCTTACTTCAAATTTCATTGTTTTTCGCGGCGTGCGAGGCAATGTTTTGCTGTTTTTCGCCGTCCGATAAAAGAAGCAGATTATACCAGAGAAAGAATCAGGTATTTTCCGTCTGTTTTATTAATACATTTCAAAGACTAAGTTGACTCATTGATTAATTTTGTTTCAGTTGTAATATAATAGCAAGTTTTCGATTTTAACTTTAAAAATATGAAAGAAAATGTCGGGGAAAATTTGTAGAAATTTTATGTTATTATCCTTTGACAAAATCAGTTTTTTCTCGCACGAAGTCTAAAAAAATCTGGGTAGAAAGAGTTATATTATAGTTTGTTAAGTTATACTGGCTGATTTGCATCTTGATCAGATTTTAAAGTCTAGATTGATCATATATTTGTTCCATCGCATGCTAAAACAACAACGAAATATCTCTCCAAAGCGGGTAAAAATATAGTGAAAAATCGATGTTTAGATAAATTTAACAAATATTTGTAGGCCTATAACCTAGC